AGTGTGTGTGTGTGTGAGAGTGCGCACTCGTGTGGGTGTGGGTGTGTGTGTGTGTGAGAGATAGAGAGAGAGAGCGCATGGGGGTGTGTGTGTGTGTGTGTGTGAGAGAGAGAGAGAGAGAGCGCGCTCGTGTGTGTGTGTGTGTGTGTGTGAGAGAGAGAGAGAGAGCGCACTCGTGTGTGTGTGTGTTCTGTGGGTTGAGGGCAAACCTCCGTTTTTCGTTATGGCACAGCTTACTAATGACAAACTACTCCTGCAGGAACGACGTTTTTCCCCTCCAAAAATGTATATTTATGTAAATATATAAACTACAAATAGACTACTGTACTATCCGATATTGTATGATTTCTGCGCAAACCTTCGTCGGCAAATTTTTCCTGCAAAAGTTGAAAATGACATTAAAAACAAGCATCTTTAATAATAATAATAATAATAATAATAATATATTTAATGATTTTAACATAATAGTATGTGATTCATGACAGCTTACTATATGTGATTTCTGTGTTTGTTTGTACACTTTTGTTAGAAACCTTTGTGCATAATTAAGTATCACATCACCTGTATATTGTCCAAATGTATCAGAGACAACACAGTGTCAATTACAGCACAGATAATATTTAATCTCCACCGTGGGTTAATAGACTTTTGATTATACCCTATAATTAAAGAATCTATACATTTATTGAAATGCTTTATGTGCTTCAGGTTACAGAAAGGACGACATTTACTAGTTTGCATTTGCCAAAATCATGCATAAAAAGAAAAGAAAATCTCTAAATCTCTGTTTTCACTGGTATTGTTTATATCATTTTGAGTCAATAATGCACCTTCACCTTTGAGATGTTTCAGTTCATTCCTCCAGTATGGCATGCACAAGTTTGCAGCACAGTTCTTTGTAATTATTACAGGAGTTGGGTTTCTTTTCCAGAATCCTTTTTACCCTGAGGTTTATTCAAAGGATTTCCTGTATCATTTTGACGTCCCATTGACGTCTGTTGGACCCCACACTTTCCAAAACTTAGAAATATTACTTCATCCGGTGACTGAGCATTCAGACTCTCAAGTCAGTGGAGAAAATAAGAGCTTGCATATTGTTTCTTCTTCTGGTAAGAACTGTGCATTTTCAGACATGGGTAATCTATTAGACTTGTATTTAATCTGTTAAAATACATAAATTAGAGCAACGAGTTTGAGAACACATGAGTGTTTTTTGTAATGTGACTCCTGTTTAAACAACTAACAAAATTATAGGTTTTAGGATGCTTTCTGGATTGTATGTCAGTGTGTAAATCACTGGAGAAGTTTCTCATGGAGTTCTCACACAGGACAAGTTCATAACACGCCTGCAAGGCAAAAGGGGGTCCAACCCGGTACTAGCAAGGTGTACCTAATAAAGTGGCCAGTGAGTGTATATATACATATATATTTTTTTAATGCTGATTTGCAATGTGATGTTTGATCTGTGATGGCCTAGCCATCTGTCCAAGGATGTGTTTCCCAAAAACATTAGTAGCCAACTCTGCCAACATACTTCAATGATTTGGTGTTTCAGAAACCAGAGTTCTAACAAACAATGGCAAACAGCATCGCACACTTGTGTGGTTAGAACTGCAGATCTCGTCCTGTTTAGAAGCGCAGTTTCTTGTATGACGTGGACTTGCATAGAACTTGCTCTTGGGCACAATAAGCAAACTAACATGCAGTACATTCTATATCCTTCATTCCATTTAATTGTACATACTAATTATATATTTCAGTGTATTCAACAATCAGTGCTGGGGGTTTTTTTTGAAGAAGAAGAAGATGAGGAATGCACATAAGGAAATCCAGGAGAATGTGAGGGAACCCACAATGAATCAAACATCAAATTAAGCAAAGTGACAGTGAACAAAAATAGTGAAGTAGTCCTCAGATGCCTAGCTTTTTTAGAGCAGCATCTCAGAAAAATGACGTTGCAAAGAAAGTTGTTGACTGAATGAAGCACATGTATACAGAGATGTACTGCTTATTAATATGATTAAAAAATTTAAATAATCTTATACTAGTTAATACCAGTGCTGGGGAAAGCTACTTATAAAAGTAATGCATTACAATATTGCGTTATTGTGTTAATTACTTTTTATGGAAGGTAACGCGTTGCATTATGTTTGCGTTATAATTTTTATCACCTGGGCTGGGCTTGCTTATTTGTTTTTAATAACAAAAATCCCAAAGGTTATAGTTTTGGCAACTGTAAAGGCCCTTTCACACCAAAAGTGAAATGAATAAGCCTCGCCCTGAAGGAAATACCTCTGTCTCTTCACCTCAATTTCTCTCAACACATGAACAGGAGAGGTGTCAGTGAATAAATGGGAAAAAGAATTAAAAAAAAGTAACTCAGATATTTTGTTGCAAATTTCAGCGTAATGTGCTACTTTAATAGTTATTTGAAAAAAGTAATCTGATTACTTAACTCCCGTTACTTGTAATGAGTTACCCCCAACACTGGTTATCACTCCACCACCTGTGTGATATGATTAACAGCATTCCTATATTGTTGAACTAACATGGTTCAAACAACAGCTGTGCAACCAAGTTACAATGATTTCAGACATTTTTATTTATTTATTTTTTACTTGCTAGGTAGGCTAATTTCTCCACTGATGCATCGTACTGCACTGGCTGAGCATGTTACATCATTGTACAGCAAACGCACCCCAGGGTGATATCCTTGCCTTTGGCCCAAGACACTGGGATAGGCTCCAACATCCCTGCAACCTACAGGACAAGCAGTTTGGAAAATGAATGGATGGATGATTGTATATAACTTAATTGCACAGTATTTATCAGAGGATACCTCAGAGTCAGAACATCACCATAAGATGTTATACTGCATGGAGAATAAGTCCACACTGAGTCAAATCTTCATAGTACGATAATCCTAATACATTTCCTCTCTTACATTAGGAGGGAACACAGTCAATTTAAACTTACATAAACTAGGTCTTTCAAACCAGAGATCTTGTGTCTGTTTGATTTGACATACGGCAGCTCTCTACTTCACCACTTCATCGCTGCAACCACACTGTAAAGAGCTGTGTATACCCTGGCAGAGCAAATTACAGGGTAATAACTGTATGAAGGAACCTGCCCTGTAACACAGTGAGACGCCACATCAGAGGAGACCAACAGTGACGTGGATGGGGAGCTCAGGGCTGATGAATGCTGATCCATTAAGAAAACGTAAAGCAGAAATGTCAGTCGGGACTTTGTGGACAAGACATAAAAAGAGCCATTTTACAGCTACCTCTTTTTCCCATTCTAACCACCCAGTGTTTAGAGCCTGAAGGCAGAGGAAATATTCACAGACCAGACTGTGGTTATTATGTCATGCGGCTTTAAGGGATTTCCTAAGCTCTGTATGTTCAAGTGGTATTACTCTTAACATCAGCAAGCTTAGAGGTATACTGGAAATGAAGATTTGAATGTCACATAGTTTTATTGGGATCCTGTAAAAACAATTATTTTGTCTCAAATGTAAAATTTGAAGAAGAAAAAAAATAAAATTTTTGGCCAGTTTTTTTTTTTCTTGCTGAATTATAACATGTTTCTGTATTCAAAAGTAATGTGTCTCGGAAATACAGTGTTGTGTTATGATTCTTGTTATGGGCTACATTGATTGTTTGAAAGATTGTTTTGCTTATAATTTATGATGAATTTTGTATGAAATTAGAAAAACGCAAAACAGAAGCATTTTCATGAGCACTAGCAGACCCCACTGTAAGTATGATCTCATGTTACATTTTTTGTTATATTTTGTAAATATAAAAATTCTGATAATGGGCCAAAAGGATTATTTGAGAAATGGACAACAATTATCTATACTGTAGGTCATCTGGTTGTATGCAGTATTGAAAAGTGGATTAGGTCAATAGTAAACGGTGAAAAACCAAGTAAACATTGTAAAATGTAATCTTCAAAAAATAATGCAATGTTACAATGTAATGTAATGTTACAGGATTTTTGATATTGTTTTATTTATGACATATATTTCATAGACTTAACTTCATGGTCATAGAATATTTATGAAACCGTAATATATTTTATTCTAGATTTGTATCCACTGTGGGGAAAAAAAGGAATTCACCCTAAATATACATTCTCAAAAGTACTTGTTTATCTTGAGTCACTTTAATGCAGACTATGTTCAAAATAGAATATTAGCATACTGTTTTGCTGAATAGTCTGCAGTATATATATATATATATATATATGATTATTTATAATGCATTTTTTGTTAAATTACAAAAATGCAATGGAGTTTAGAGTTTAGAATGGAATTTAGAGATATCATTTTTTGTTGCATTGTAACAAATGAAGCTGCTCAGGTGACTCAATTTGAACTTTGAATTCA